TACATACATACATACTTACATACATACCTACATACATACATACATACATACATACATACATACATACATACATACATACATACATACATACATACATACATACATACATACATACATACATACATACATACATACATACATACATACATACATACATACATACATACATACATACATACATATTAGAAATATTTTCATTGAGAATTTTTATTAATTTTAAAAAGGTCGTGTTTTTAGTGTATAGCAATTCTCCTATGTTATGTGTTGCCTAGGCGGTCGTCTAGTCGACTAGGCATCTTGGAGGTATCTCAGCACCGCGCATCGACTTGGCGCCATGATAATTATGGTCATTTATCGAATTACATCCCCAGGAAATTTGAGAATTGAAGATGTAATATGAAGAAAGACACAATTCAAGACATGAGGATTGTGTAGAGGTTGCAATACTAGGATGTTGAGTATGATATAAATGTGTTATCTCAACTAATTAGAAGTGCTAATTACGTTTAAAAACTATTTTCAAAATGATTGTTTTGTAAGGATGACTCAAACAAAAAAAATTACACGTACCAAAAACAAAAGTTACCTATTTTACATGGACTAAAAGCATATTTCACTTAAAAAATTAATTATAATTTCAAAAAAGAACTATTATAGTATTATAAAAGCTTTAATTGATACAAAATACTACATATGATTTTATATTTATTAAATTTTTTTTGTGAAATACAATTACTAGCATAAATTTAAATATTTTAAAATCGAACACTCATAACTCATTAGTCGAACCAAACCCGATGATACTAGGTCATGAACATACATTTCCCAACCAGAACCCGAATCTAACCAAACCAAAAGTAACATGAACCCAATCTAACCCACCTATTTGCGAGCTCTAATATAGTAAACCTAGGATTTGTACCTTCAATGATGAATGAGCCACCAATCACCAATGATGCATATCCAATATAAGTAGGAGGCTGAAATCAACCCAAGAGATTAGAAGTGACTTAAATTCTTGTTTAGAAAAGAAAAATTAGCAGTCATTATTTACAAACAGTATGAGGAGAAAATATATTCCAATAGTTGAGAACCTGTGCAGTCCACAAGTTTTGAATTCCATGAACTATTGTAGCACCAGAACCAAGACAAAAAATGCCAACAGCAGATATCAAAGACCAAACAAATCTTTCCTTAGAATAACCATACCTGACGTCATGTAGCACAAAAGATCAAAATCATCAAATAAGCCACTGCTCTCTAGGATATGAACGAAACTAGAAATCCAACTAGCATTTGACAATATGGCTAAGTGAATTATTTTAGGCATAAATTATAAGAATAAATGTATTACTCCCTCCGTCCAGAGTATTTGTCCACTTTCATTTTTACACACCATCCAATACACTTCTTTAATCCATTTTATCATGTAATTTGTATATTAAAAAATTATAGAAATTATATATTAATAATCTATATGTTAAGACAAATCAAACAAGATCACACATGACTATATTTAGGCTTACACATTGAGAGAATTTGATGAGTCAAAGTGCATAGATGAACAGTTCCAAAAGTCAAAAGTGGACGAATATAGTGGGACGGAGGAAGTTAATTAGCTAAATTGTTTAAATTAAAACTACTGGACTCAATAGCAGCAAGGGCTCATTTCTTGTTTATGAAATACCATACTTTTCTCCTCTCCAACTTATGGATATACTTGGAGTGCAGATAATGGTAAGAAAAGGAAAAAATGTTGATCAAAATATCCATTGTTTATGCTTGGTTTTACCTTGGATAATACAATAAAAAAGAACCAAACTAGATCAAACCATTTTAATATTTTACATGACTTTATTTTCTTATTAGTCTGTATATACATCATAATAGAAACATATGAACAAAATGAGTTTGAACAAATATCTAAAACTGATTTATTGAACTAGACAATGCAAACAGATAATAATGAAATATAAATACTTCACATCATCTGAAGATTTTGATTAGGAACCACTTACGGATGGAGAGCGTCTGGTGCACGCCTTGAACTGCTTAAGCCATAAGCAAGAAGTGCCTATGAGGGAAGCAAAGTTTAGATTCTGTGAGGTTCATCTTTAATTACTTGAAATGCATAAAACTGAAGAAGGTCAACCCAAGCATGCTTGGGGTGATTTTTAATATTAAAGGAAGCATATTGATTGCCTGGTTCGCGAAATCTGCCAATGAGTGCACCATTTCAGCTAGCATAACATGGCTAGAAGTAGCAAACCAGACCCCAAATTTGAGAGAAAACACAAGAAAGTTGCATCACAATGCAGTTGTGACAGCTCGCTGACTATAATAAAGGTAATAAGTCAGGCAAAGTAGCAGTAAAGAGTATGAACTGTCGATAATTTCATTTTATAGCAGCTGCATATCTATATAAATAAAATACATTCGCATATAGCAGTAACTCATCTATAACAATTTTGGCTTTCTTGGAACATTCTATCTACCTTACCTACAAATTTCATCACGATTCAAACTACTGAATGTATCAAATCCATTTGGAACACGCATCTAACAACAACATCAACAAGCCCAATAATCTCAAATCTCTTGGGTCTAGGGTAAAAAATGAACCTAACCTTAGCTCAAATCTCTTGGGTCTAGGGTAAAAAATGAACCTAACCTTACCCCGATAAAAAACAAAGAGGCTGTTTCCGTTAGACTGTCCAAAACTTCATAAAAGTAAGAAACAAGGAAAGTTTAATGTGTCAATGGTTCCAATTTGATTTAGTCGAATGTTTACTCCAAAATAAACATTCTCAAAAATGACTCTTTAAGCTCCATTGCCCATGGGCACGAGAAGGTAAGCTAGACTTTTGCAGACGTCCACCACAACAACCCAACCCATTGGGTTGGTCAAACTTAATGGTCTGCTTGCATGAAGGATTAGAAGGGACTTTTGATAACTTAATCTACAATCTACATTTTGATAAATAGAATGTTTCTAAAAACCGATAAAAGGTTATTGAAATGTTCTATGATCATGTGTTATGCTAATCTATCAATATTAAAGTCCTCAAATATATATCATCGTATAGAATAATAGATTAAACATTCTAAAACCTTCCCCTCCGAAGTCCGAACCGCTCTAAACCTCCCCATCAAAACAGTCCCTAAAGAATTTCAGTATGAGAAATGACTCTTGGTCCAAAAAAGATGGGTACACCATCGCCAAAACTATAGTGCCAACAGGGATCAACATTCAGTAACAACTCAGTTTGATCAAGAATTCAATACTTAGTGGGTACACATGTAGAAATTAAACACACATTACCCGTGAGAGTCCACTTCTATTGCAGTAATATTCTTTTTAGCTCTGGTTAAGAAACCTGAAAACAAAACTTATTTACTGGATAAAATTCAACAATAATATTTTAGCAGAACACTATAAAAATATGCTGTTCTTACAACCAGTAAAAAAAAAGGAAACTCACCATGGCTTAGGAAGAGGCGATGATTGAGATTCAATGGGACGGGAGTTGAAGATATAACAGAGCTCCTGGGATATAGAGCATGGAATCCAGATGAAAGAGATGGAGTCCATCGTCCACCAATAGGCTGACAATGTGTATCTCCTTGAAATCTGCGATAACCATTGGGGCAAGATTCTGCCCCGTTTTCGAGCTCGGGTCTGTAAGAGTGAAAATGGGCTAAGAAGTCCACATTGAGGGCGCAGAGAGAGGCAGGAGCGGTAGAACGAAGAGAAAAGCTGCCCACGCAGGAGAGAACGTGCGAAGTCCGACGCATTAATGTATGGAAATTGGAAAGAAGGGCTTAAAACTCAGCAAAGATTGGACGCCCTTTTCTCCTCATATATAAACTCGTGTCATGCTGATGGTACTAGAGCTGCTTCCCACTTTAGGGTGTTAGGGTTTCACAGTGCAAGATTAAATCTTCTTCGCTTCGAGGTCGTCTGGAATGGAATGAGAATCGCAGGGGCGGGGGAGAAAGGAGCATACACAAGATGATTTGAATCTTCTTTGGCAATCAGCAATTGAGCATATACACCGGTGGTATATACTGGTGTACCCACCCCATTAGCCATTACTTTAAGTCTTGGCGCACAAGCAAAACAAGTAGGATTAGCTCCAATCTATTATTTGAATAGAAATATTCAAAATTGAAACCGGAATGATACGAAAAATGAAGATTCTATTTATAACCAAAAATCTAAAACAATTTGAACTGAACCGAAATCAAACTAAATAATTTGAAGTTTGGACCCAATTTCTAGCTCCCTTTCTCAGTTATATTTTAATATTTTAGTTTAATTCTGTTCCAGTTGTCCCAAAGTGGCTCTGACCCTGCTCTCTGTTATAAGTTTATTTTTACAAATTTTAATAAAATGTTCTTTTCTTTTATGTTCTATTAATATTAAGTATAGGTTATGACCTGGATTAGGGTCCTAGCTAAATTTGGGCATATACTTTGTATGTTTATTTAATAGTTGGAATAATTGTTCTAGAATTACTTTTATTGTTAAATTAATAAATTATGTCGAGAGAAAAATTAATTAAGTATTGGAAATTAGTTTTTGCCTTGTCCGTGAGGATATAAAATTAATTAAGCCAAAATTTTAGAACACATTAATGTTGCCTTGAAAGAGGATAAGTTAATAAAACATTTGAGACAGAAATTGTTATTCCAATTATTGATTAAATATGTGACAACAGTAGTTAACTCAGATGATGCCTTGGCCCGAAGTCTAATCTTATACTCGTACTATTTATTTTCTTTCTCAAAAAACACATAGTAGTTAGTTTATTATTATTTTTAAATCAAATCGAGAACACTTTCAGAATCGTCCTAACCTTTGTGTAGTTAGAAAAATTAGCTAACTTCCTTCGTCCACTCCTCGAGAGACACGACACTCGGAGAAAACTAACCCTTCATTAGGAAGGTTGACTTGCCGAAAAACTCAATCATCAATTCTCTAGAGTTGTTTGCTTGGAGTTGTGAATGCTTTGAGCTTGACCGATTCTTTTGATGCTCCATTCATAAAAGTCTTTGACCCTGGAGGATGTCCATTCGCAACGCATGATTCTTCATTTTTCCCTAGATTTCCAACTTTAGGACAAGTTAGTTTTCGAGGCGGGAAGAGTATTACAGGATTATTGTTGTTGTTGTTGTTAGTTTTTCGTATTATTATTATTATTATCATCATTATTATTATACGTAAGGAATTATTTATAGTTAGTTAATTATTATTAGGAAATATTATACGAGTATTTGTTAGGTGATTAATTAGTTTCCTAATTTATTTAGTAGCCTTTTGTGATTATGATTCCTTCGATATGCTAGCTATAAATGTATCACCACTATGGAGTTATTATTCAATGAATAAAAAAATACTTCCTCCTAAACCTTAATCTCTTCATCCTCGCCGATCAGCGGCCGTCTTCCCCTCTCCTTGCTAAATCTCTTCCTTTCCCCTTAATTTTATAGCTCGAAGGTGCTCAACCTTCCCTAACCTTCCCTATCCCGATACGATAATGTATCAGGCGATTTAACGGTGAAACTTCTGGCGAACTTTGCGATAACTAACTTTTGCAGAATGCTCTCCTCACTCTCCGGAACATTATAATACTAAGTTTATTCAGTTTGGTGGTTAAATGAGAAGATTGGGTTCTTCTCTTATAAGGAAGGAGAGGAGAAAGGAAACAATTTTGCTGCGTAGGAAGATTCACGATCGACGATAGTGGAGGAGGAGGCGCCGTTCCTTGGTTGGGACTAATTTGGTCCCAGTCGGGGTACACTTTGTGGTCGAACTTTCTCCGAATTGAGTTCTGTTTGCACCATTGTGATCAGACAGTCGAATTCTATTCAACGATATACTCTTATATTGGTTTGCACTTTTTCCGAGTCAAAATTGATTTTATTGACCTTTATCATAACAGCTTCTCACATTTAAATCATATTATTATTCTCACTATTTATTTCAATAATTCATTTCAAAGTTCTTATTATACACAATTTCTTCATTTATTCTTCATTTGGGTTTGTACTCAGCTTTCCAATCAAGCTCACATAATAAGTCAACATATTGGATTTATCTTTATGAGATTCATCCAGATTGTGATATTGGATATCAAAACACATTTTATTTTGGCCCAAGGCCCAACATTAATTTATTTTAATCAAAACAAATTTGATTAATTGAATATTTAATTTAATAAATTCTAGAGTATGTTTTGGAGCGTTACAGGCTAAGGTGTTAAGATTTAGTATTTGTTTAGGGCACGATACACCGACCTTAGAACGAGTGAGAGAGGGAGAGTGTAGTGCCGGTTGGGTGGGTGGGGTATGGGGGGTGTGTGTGATGGGGTTTTGGGCTAAGGGTTGATGGCGAGGAGGTCCTGGACTAGGACAAGGGAGGTATTGGATGGGCAGACCGAGCTGAGGGGGAAGAGGGTAGGGGTGGCCGAGAATAGAAAAATGAGGCGATGTGTCATCGCTTTCTAGGAAGTTGAGGTCATCAGGAGAGTTGTTTGTCTGCATAAGGAAATGTGGATTCATCAAAGATTACATGTCGGGGAACAATGATTTTATTTGTTTAGAGGTGTAGGCAACGGTAGCCCCTTTGGCTGGAGCTGTAGCCAAGAAAAATGCAACGAACCAAATGCGGGGCTAATTTATGGGGAGCAGTGGTGGAAGATTGGGGTAGCAGATGCAACCAAAGACACGAAGATGAGAATAAATGGGGGGAGTTGTAGAGGACAGCGTGGGGTGTTTGGTTTTGAATGCTGGTGCTTGGTAAGAGGTTAAAGAGGTGAGCTGCCATGTAAAGGGCTTCAACCCAAAAGTTGAGAAGGAGGTGACCTTGAAAAGGAGTGAGCAAATTGTGTTATTTAAAATGTGAATCGCACGTTCGGCCCGTCCATTTTGTTGGCTGGTGTGAGGGAACGAGAAGTGGAAGAGAATTCCAGGGAAGCGAAAATGGATTTGAGAGGTGAGTTACGGTATTTAGTACTGTTGAAGCATTGAACAACTTTATTGGTAGGATTAAAGTGATTTTTAACATAAGCAATAAATGAAGTTAGGTGAATAAAGGCATCAGATTTTTTAGAAGAAAACCACAAAGATACTGCGAGAAATCATCCATAGTATCATATAAAGTTTAAAACAAGTTACACTGCGAACATGAGATTGCCATAAGTCTGTATGTAAAAGTTGAAAAGGAAAAGAAGAGACATGACTAGACTCAGAGAATGGGAGACACACATGTTTTCCCAATTGACAAGCATGACATAAATAATTATGATAATCTTGAAAAGGAAAAATAAGACTCGAGACACTATGATGGACAACAAGATTGGGATGGCCAAATCACCGATGCCATGTTTGAGGATCGACAGAAGCGATGTTGGCTGTAGCTTTAGGAGGATGGCACATAGAGGGCCTGCATTATTGGACTGATGTATCATGCTTCCCGTCTGAAGATCCTTCAGAGAAAAACCATGAACATCAAATTCAACAGAGTAATTATTATCATGGGTAAATGACGAACAGAGATAAGATTATGTATTATATGAGAGGATACAAGGACATTGTGAAGGGAGAGGGTGGGGTAATGTATGAGTGACAACACCCGTAATGCATACTTTAGATCCATTACCAACATTGATATAGAATGGTGGATTTAAAAATGGGAAATAGACATGAGAAATAGTACCTGGATTAGAAGTGATATGGTGGGATGCACTAGTGTCCATTAGCGGTGGACTTCCTGGTTTTTGTGGGTTCTAACATGGTGGATAAATTTAGGATTGGGTGTGAACATCTGTATTGGGCCATAAGACACTTGGGTTGAACCACATTAAAAGATTGAATCCAATCGATTAGTTAGTTCAACTCAAGGGCTTATATACCGGTTTATTTTCTCTTCAAGGTTCCGATGTGAGATACTCTTTAACACTCCCCCTCAAGTGGACAACCCGGCCATTTTGAATCTAACCGGTTGACCACTTGCAAATGGACTCCCATCCCCTTGGTTTTTTTTTGAGCGCCAACACCTAAATGACCACGAGCCGCTGGGTATGGACTTCCAGACAAGCAATCGTATTAAACGGGCCACAGGCCGTTGGGTACATACTCCATACGGACAACTGGGCTAAAAAGACTAATGGGCCGCTAGGAATGAACGTCTAGACGGACACCTTGACAAAACCTGCTCTGATTACCATGATAGAATTTTAGGATGGGGTATGGATAACTGGATTGGGCAATAAGACACTTGGGTTGAACCACATTAAAAGATTGAATCCAATCGATTAGTTAGTTCAACTCAAAGGCTTATATACCAGTTTATTTTCTCTTCAAGTTCCGATGTGGGATACTCTTTAACAGAAGCTGAGAGGGAGAGAAGGGGGGAATACGAGCCCTACTGCAGAGAGAGGGGGGGAAGACAGTCGCTATTTGGTTCCCTCTCTGCGGCGTCGGCCTTGCGCCGCAGAGAGGGAACATCGAGGCGAGAGAGAAAGGGAGGGTCGACTAGGGTTGGAGAGGCTCTGATACCATGAAGAATTGAGATTTTCCTTAGAGTAAATTCTCTAAATATTCTTTTATAAATAGGGGAGTTTCCATATTTAGACTATATTTATCAAATGTTAAGTAGATAATCCTTATTAATTGGGTACCATTCCACGTTTAGTCATCCGTCTATTTTTCCATCTCTGTACCATTAGACAAGGACCAAACGTGGAATGGTACCCAATCAATAAGGACCACGAAAATAATATTTGATAATATAGACTAAATATGGAAATTCTCCCGTTATAAAGAACTTTTTGGAGAATTTGTTCTTTTTAAACCACTTTTAATATAAAAATTAATACATAGAAAAAATGTATAACTGTAGTTTATTTATACAAATTCAAAATTTGTACACCGCACAAAATAGTTTATCAAAAAATTCATTTTTTAACACGAGAAACTATTCAAAACTGATAGGAATTAAAAAGATATTTGAAGTTATTATCCCCTTTTAATAACGCAAGAGCTTCAAATTTTTATCTCCAAAATAAGAGTATAATGCTAATAATGTCAATATATAATATCACTATACAATGTCATTATGTCACAGTGCAAACTCGTATATTGAGAAAAAACATTACATTCTTATTTTGAGGATAAATGTTATATATACTCCTATTTTGGATGATTTCAAATTACTTATTAATTCCTATATCTTCCAAGATAATTCTCATATCAAAAAATGAATTTTTTGGTAATTTTTTAATGATAATTTTGAATTTTTATATATAAACTACAATCATATACTTTTCATATTTGTTACTAACTTCGTTCTAGAGTATTGATCTAGTTTTGAGTTTTTTGTCAAAATCGATAATCTTTGACCACGAATTAAATAAAATTAATACTAGATTTTGATACAAAAATAATTTTATTGGATTTATGTAAATAATTTTATTTAATTATAGGTAAAATTTTGAAAATGGTTGACTGCAAAAAGTCAAAATTGGAAAAAATACTCAAAGACGGAGGTAGTACTTTGAATAGTAAAAATGGTTTTAAAAAGTAAACTATTCAAATAGTCCTTTATAAAGGGAGAATTTCCATATTTAGCCTATATTATCAAATATTATTTTTGTGGTCTTTATTGATTGTGTACCATTCCACATTTGATCCTTGTCTAACAGCATGGAGACAGAAAAATAGACGGAAGACTAAACATGAAATGATACTCAATTAATAAGGATTGTAAATATAATATTTGATAAATGTGGACTAAAAATGAAACCCCCCCCCCCCCCNTGCTAAATCATTTCTTGCTTGAGTTTTTCCTCATTGCTTGAGTCTTTGAGAGATATTGCCATATTCTGAAGGACTTCATTGTATTTGCAACAATCTACTCCGTATTGGGAGAATTACTCGGTTGCGGTTTGTTTTCTTATTTTATTGTAAGGGATTTGTATTCTTGGTGTTGGGATTACACCAAGTGGTAGAAATCCTAACGGTTTGTGAAATCAAACGTTAGGTGGAAGAAATCCCGAGTTTTGTGAAATCAAAACTTCGGTGGTAAGATAAGAGGCTTGTGAAATCAAGTTCTCGAGTTGTATTCGGATTGTCAAACTCCGTTAAGTTTGACGGGTTAGTGAAGGCCTGGGCACGATTGCTTCGGGGACTGGATGTAGGCATTTAGGCCGAACCAGTATATATCGTGTGTGCATTGCTCTTATCCTTCACTTTATTTTGTTTGTGGTGCATTATTTTTTATTGAATTTTCGTGAAGAACGTTTCCGCGCAAAAAAACGGGTCTTTTGGGCAACACCTCTATTCACCCCCCTTCTAGAGGTGTGCGAGGCGTCTAACAAAATATATACAATATATTTAAAACAACAAATTCAAAAATCCTTTTGTAGTATGCGACTCCTCTTAGTGTTTCCCCCTTTTAATTTTATTAGATGAACTCCCTATTGATAACTCTCTATTGATCAGCAAACACTATATATTTTGTTTTTTCATTTTTCTCTTCGACCTGAGCTTGCGGCTTCCCCCTTCTTCCGGTCCTCCAATACTCCATAGATTATTTCTTGTACATATTTTGTGGCCACAAACATTTGTGAGGAGAGACGTAGAATATATAGTGTATGAATAACCTAGTAGAGTTCAATTAGGAATCCATTAACCAAAGCTTCCTCCTCAAGAATAGCAATCTATTGGGACTCTTTGTATAGAATATAGAAGCTCCCCAAAAATATAAAATCTTCTAAAAACACAACTCCTTTTTTTGAAATAACTCTGCACACCATAAAATATACACCAGGTGGATTCTCGGAAAACTGCAGGTCTTCACAAAGTGATAGACAGAATGCTACAACACTTTTTAAAAGAGCTAAAGATAACTCTAAATAAAACTATTCATTTGTCAAAAAATAATGCCAACAATAATTGAACACTTTATGAAACTAACAGTTCTCTGAATCGTAGAGGGACAACACCAGAAAATAGTAGTTTGGTCCATCACTGGACAATGTAAAAAATAGTTGTTTGAATCATAGACAAGAAACACCACACAACAATGCTCTGATGCACTTTTTTGGTAGTCTTTGGAGCAGTCTGATAGACATTCAGACTACTTCTCAAATTAGTAGTTTGAATTGAAAAAGACAACTACCTGTAATAGTAGTCGCAATTATAGAGATACAATTGTAAAAAGAGTGATGCCTACATGGTACCAATGTTCACATTTAAAATGTGGATCTTCTCACGTTTTTCACGGACTTGCATGTGGATATTTTCTTTTTTTGCAAAAGATCAACTTATTTTATGTTACAAATACACTAACGTCCATAGAATGAAAATGGACCTTAGGTCCATGGATGAATTTGCCTTGCAAAAAAAGTTCTTTGAAACACAACAAAAAGAGTAGTCTAAACTTTGGACAAACGACACAAGAATGTAGTTATTTGATTTACTTTTTTGTAGTAGTCTTCGGGGCAGGAGTGTGGTATAGATTTCAACCACTATTCAAACTAGTAATATAATTCGCCAAGTGACAACACCAACCAACAGTAGTCTGAACCACAAAATAAACAGCAGGCGATATCATAGGCAGACTACCAAAAAACACAGTTCTCTGAAATTCCAAAAAGAATAGTCTTACACATACAAGAACAACATTGGAAACCAGTATTCTGAAACACTAGGAAATAGTTGTCACTTTTAATTTCACGCAACTATTTTAAAACAGAAGTCTGTGATTCTATCACACTGCTTCTCTGAATTTGAAGACTACTAAAATCAGCATTATAAGACTAGTAAAAAAAAGTTGTCTGATTCAAATTCTGGTGTAGTGTCACATTCACCCTATTTAGATAGTGTAGAAATGAAATCACCGTGTTTTTATGGCTATGGGAAGAATTTCAAACACAAATACATAACAAAGAGTTTATTGCACCAACACCCCCCCTGTGATTTGGTAAATGTGTACCGTTACCCCTCATTATTTTAAAACTCACGGCATTGCCCATCATGGTTCTGGTATTGCTACATTAATGCCCCTCTGGACAAAAACATCCTTCAAATATTATGTGTATAACTCCGTTACCCCCTATGGTTTTAAAAGGGCACCAACGCCCGTCTCCTTTTTCTTTATTGTTTTTCTTTTTTCTTTTCTTTTTTAATAAAGAGAAGAAAAATGTTAGTTTGTGAAATAATGAAAAATTGTTTTTTCAAACCTACATTTTTAAAAAAGTTTTTTTTAAAAAATTTTGTGTTTGAAATAAAAAAATTTAACATATACTTCATTTGTCAAATTAAATATTTTTGTTTTTTATCTAAAAAGTTTTTATCTTTTTGAATATGTCGGGACCAAAAGAATACTGAATAACGTCATATTTTATACTCCCTCCGTCCTAATTCTTTCTTCCCAGTTTGACTTTTCCCCATTTTTAACTTTTGGCTTTGACTTCAAATTTTATCCTCCTTAAAAAAAGATTTTTTGAATTTTTTTTTTTGCAATCATTCAAAATATAGAGTTAGAAGATAATTGGTGTAAATACATGAGGGTAATAATGTCATTTGTCATCTTTTTTTTCTAATGGGAAGGTAGTTTTAGGACGGGGAAAAAGGGGACGTGGGAAGAAAGTTTTAGGACGGAGGGAGTATATAGTTAATTTTATATTATTTACATTTTTTGGACCAATGCGTAAAAGATTTCTTTGAGGACTTAATTTTTCCTATTCCATAAAAGTATTTTTTCATATACTTTTGTTTTTCTTAATTTTCAATTCTATTGTTTTCTTTTATTTTAATTTAGATTAAAATAAAAGAAACAGTATAAAATTAATGAACAGAAAATGAGAATTGAGCTTTAGTAAAAAAGAATATATTTCATTGATTTTTGTATCATGAAAATGAACCAATAAGCCTTTTTTTAGACAAAAAAAAATGTTTAATTTGATACAAATGAAGTATGCGTTAATTCTTGTTATTTAATTAATTTTTACTGCAAACATAAAAAAATTACAATTAAAATATTATAAAAAATAATTTTCAAAAAGTAATTAAATTTTTTTTTGAGAAATTAGTAGAAAACAATAAAGAAAGGAGGGTGTTTGTGTGAATTTTCAAAATCATAAGGGGCAGTAGAGCTATTCACATAATATTTGAAAGATAATTTAGTCTAGAGAGGCATAAGCGTAGCAATATAAGAACTATGAGGGGCAACGACGTAAGTTTTGAAATCATAAGGAATAATGGTGCACATTTACCAAATGACAGAAGGTCATGTGCAATAAACTCGCATTACAAGCGCTAAAAATACACTATTGACTTTAAGCACGGCATTACCTGAACGCAAATATATAACAAAGTGGATAAAACAAAAATCTGCTATCAAGTTAATGAACAAAACAAAAATCTACTAATCACAAAATAACTACAAGCATCAAAACAACAAGTTAATGAACAAAACAAAAATCTACTAATCACAAAATAACTACAAGCATTAAAACAATCAACAAAAAATACGTCGTAGCTGTAAAAAAATTGACGTGTAACAAGCAGTCATCATCTCCAAAGTGGCAGAAATAAAACCGGATGATCAAGAATTGAAACCCCTGGATATATAGATAAATGAAATTCTTGATTTGGAATATATAATAGTATGATAACTGTTACAGTATTATGTAACAAAAGTGAATGCAATCTAGTTACAGCATTAAGATTACTGTAATATTGCTCCAACTGAAATGTCGTTTGCATCATAACGTTGATGTATATGCCCTCATTCATTTATTTTTTCATATTGCAATACTTTAATGCTTTGACCATGCATCGCACGAGTGTTGTTTACAGAAGAAAAGAGTAGTATAGAGTATCAAATAGTGAGTACATTTCCTCAGGTGGCACCTAAAAATGTGCACAAAAAGCCAACCCAGAGAAAGACATTACAGAAGGGGTACTGCATAGGAGCAGACCAGTATAACACTATAACCTAAACCAACATACTATGTTAACATGAATACATTGTGTACTACTCCGTATAAAAACTGAGAATAAGATACGGAGTGATTGTTTGAAATGTAGCCTTCTTTAAATCCATGATTCAATTCTTAGCTCCTTCAAACCAAAAGACTGGGCAGTGAGTTATATGCTAGTTATCAAATTGACCTACTCTTCTACCACGAGATCTAATGTCTGATGTGTCGTGATGGTGTGCAGAGCTCTCCCTGGTTATTATCTTCAAAGGGTGGGCTTCCGTGTTGAAAACCCACTGGTCCAGGGGAATCAGCGAAGGCGGTGAGAAAAGAAGATAGAGATATTTAAGCGTCTCTGCCAGAAAGAAGCTCTGCATCACGTTGTCTTTCACACCCGTGTTAACCTGTAAAAAGACCAAAGTCAGAGCTATCGCGACCGCAGATATGGATGAATTTGAGCCATATCAATATTACCAAATATAGCATGAGATAAAAACAGTGGGACAGACATAAAATGCAAAAAAGAGAAAAACGTGAGGGAGGGAGATGCTATAACATGGCCAGATTAACTTTTTTAAAGCCCTATATTTTAGTGCACGGTGTACCGTGGTGCATCAAGATAAGCAAAACGGGCAACTGTGTAAAATAAAAAAATGTGTGCATGGGGTTGATGCTTACATCTTTTAGTCCAACATACCCCGACTCTATACGACAGTTCTTTTCAAATGCCTGAAATATGTTCCAACCCCAATCTTGGTATGTCTTGTTTCCAGTCAAACGCCATAGATAAAACAGTGATTCAACCGTCTCCGGCCTCAGTATGTTCCATGAAGTCCCCACACTCATTTCCTTGAGAATAACACAGAAACAACTTTTGTTAATAATTATCTGTTTTGATAACTTGAGAAAAGAATCAAATGAATGCAAAATGTAATGGAACCAAAATATTTCAACCTGCCCTTTATGGAAAAAGTAGTTCTCTCCTGCTAATTTTGTGGATGTTGACTGATAGAAGTTATAGCAAGTCCAAGCAAGCTGCATAGAAACAACCAGAGCTTTATATAAACTATGAAGTTTTAAATCCATGGAGGGGAAGAAACTGCACCTGACAATAGGTAATTTCCTACTAGGGCAACCAAATTCTTTTATTAGCGAGTACAAATACTTTTCAAAAATAGTAGTAGAATTATTGAAAATAATATGTTACTCTCTGCCTCATACAAAAAGTCCCCAGAAAGAGTGCAATTTGAACAAAAGTGTCCAAAAAAAATTTATAAGTTTGTTGAATTTAATTACTTCATCAAATAACTTTACAAATATACCTATATGATGATTTTCAATAGTCTTTTTTTACTCCCTCTGTCCCAGTGTATTTGTCCAGTTTGACATTTTCGAGTAAAACAGAATGATTTTATTATATTTATCTTGATGAGAACTTTTAAAATTTTATCTTATTGTAATAATACGCAATACCAAATTGAAAGTAATTGAAGCTCAAAGTTTGACCAGTTTGACTCAAAAAAGTCAAACTGAACAAATACACTGGGACGGAGGTAGTTAAAGAAGATGATTTCCAATTGCTGTATCTAAACTAAAATTAAAGAGATCAAAATTGGTGAAACATGGCTCTTTTTATGGTATGGAGGGAAGATTATATACAACACAATAGGCTGGTGATTTGAAGATTAGTTACCCAAAAACTAGTAGAAATTAATGTTATGATTGATTTAATCATTCCACTGAGAAACTTTTATAGTGTGATACAATAGTGTGTACCTCTTCTGCTAATGATAAAAACTTCCCAGATTCATCAGAATTATAGCCAGAAGCACCTAAGGCCAACATTCCCGGAGCAAAGCATGCAAGTTCATCCATCTGAATTGTTTTAGAGAAGATTTAATTTGAAGCTTTTAAACCAAAATAAATAAGCAAAACACTTGATACTCCCTCTTTTAGCAGCTACCAGGAGTATTTATGATTACCTTGTCACTAAAAGAGCCTCCAGTCTTCTCACAGATATATGCAAAAGATGAAGGGGTACTCCTTCGCACCAAGCTCTCAAGACCTTTCATTGATGTCTCCCACATTATTCTGTTCTCAAATTTTGGCTTAATATCAAACAAAATCCAGGCACTTCATTGGATAAAGGGATACTGTATTCAAAATAATGACGAAAACTCACTATAAACATGAATTTGGTTGGGTGATGAGACTATAATGCCCCAAAACCCGGCCAATCTATTATAAATTACTCCCTCCGTCCAAATTAATTGTCTCATTATGGATAACGATGTTTGACTGAGTTTATTTTCAATCCAATTTATAAAAATACAACAACAACAACAACAACCCAGTTAAATCCCACGAGAGTAGGGTCTGGGGAGGGTGTGTGTACGCAGACCTTACCCCTACTCAAAAATAGAGAGGCTGTTTCCAAAGAGACCCCCGGCTCAACGTCAAAAGTTACATTGCACTAACTGCTACTTCATTAATTAAAGAAGCGCAGACAGTTTAGAGATCCATTTTGATTTATTTCATCACACCCCAAAGCCAAAAAATGGTGAAATTTTGGCTCTAATTTATAAAAATAATGGTACAAAATTTAAAAATAAAATTTATACATTAAGAACTATATCAAATTCTCTATAAAACAAGAAGTGACATGCTTATGTTATTTTAACAAATGATTAACAAAAATAAGAAACGAAAAAAGAAAAAGTTTGACATGTGAATAGCAAAGTGAGACAAAGTTGATTCCATAAAAACACGGATAAAACTACTTTTTACACCTAAAATAAACGGAACCCAATAGGAAAAATGTTCACATCAATTACTCAAAGATCATTATCATATTAGAAGGAGACAACAAGTGGTTCTGTTTACCTGTAATGCATTACAGCATCAGTTTTGTTTCCTTGAATCCAGGCCTTGAGTAAATATTCATAGAAGCTGAAAAAAAGTGAGATTAGAAATAAGAAATGGACATAAAAACAACATCTCACAAGTAATGCATTACAATTACTTCAAAGCATACCAGCAAAACTGATAATACCTCTCTCCCTAAATAAATTTCAGTTTTCAGTTTATGATATTTGATTTTTTTATTCAGTTTATTTAAAGATTGGTTCAAAATTTAAAAATGACATTTATATATTTTAAAACTAGATGAAAAAAATCTATAAAATAAGAGGTGCCTTGTCATTTTTATTGTAACAAATGATAAAGGAAATAAGGAAAGATGTAGTTTGACAATGTGAATGGTAAAATGAAGTTTATTTAAGGCCGGAGGGATTAGAATAAGAAAAAAAGGTGAAAGTTTGTTACCTGTCACCCATGGCTCCAAAAGTAATTGTTGAGTGTGATTTTCTCCAACTATGTGGATTGAGGTAGATGGGAAGTAAACCATCATCGGGGAAAGTTTTGTTAAGCTCTAAAATAACATTTTCCACCTGGAATATTAAAGGATGCCAGTAATCGACATCAGAAATTGACCTCATAAATTTAAGCACAAAGGTTTTGTTCTTGTGCATCCTCTGATACTGTAAGTTCAAATAGTTCTCAATAGATGCATACATATATAAATCCTAATAATTTTCACATATTTTTAAAAGACGCAAGAGATAAACTTCAAGAGTTCAATGAAAGTACCATCTGCTGATACTTTGGGTTCCCTGTCCTTTGAGAAAGAGCTATAAATTCAAGCTGCTCAGAGCCAGAATCTGCCAAGATACTGTCACCCTGATAGTCAAGATCAATAAAAAAAATTGCAGTTACAAAATTTTTTTGGTTTGATATGTATTTCCATGTGCAAATATGGCCTGTCAAGTTCACATTTACCCTTGTCCATCCCGGGTTACGCGGATTCCCATGAGCCAAGTTGATTATGTTATAGGGGATGCCAGTGGGAGTATCCCATGCAGGCAAAAGCCTATCGGCAATGTCTTGAGCCTTTTTTAGAAAGACATTATCCCTAGAGAGGTCATATGCACTTAGAAGTCCACCTACAACTCTGGTGGCAAAACAACGATCACAGATCAGGTGAAATCCAAAAATTGACATGGCAATTGTACTAACTAACAAGAATACTATTTAAAAAGTCATTTAAATAAAGGTATATTAAACCTTATAAAGAAACCTTATGGTTGTCTCAAAAACACTAGCATCATAGTCCTTGTTGAAATCCAAAGTGTGTGCAACCCAACTGCATTAGTGAATCATGCTTATTAGTAGCACAACACAAGTAAAATATAACATAAGTTATTTAATGAGAGCAAACAAATGCAATTTAATAATTTCAGCTTTTTTCTGCTCCTCATTGAAAAAGTAATTTATAACAAGTAGTCATGCAAATTGCAAGGGCCGAGTAGTTCATCCAGAAGGAGAAATTAGTGGATACCAAATAATGAGCTAACGAACAATATATGAGCTAACCTTGCTTTGCGAAATCTCGTGTTTTCATGTTAACAATCAATATATGAGCTAATGTTTGTTCTAGTGTTTCAGGTACAACAAGAATCCATTAAAAATTGGTTGTCAAGAACGAAGTTGAAACACCAAACTAGCGTAGAATATAAGTAGAAGCAAATGTAAGGATATGATTTTATGTACCTATATTCACAAACTCAAATGTACTCACAAAATATGTTTAAAACCTTCTTATAATCATTTTCAAACATCCAAAAGGTCTTAAACAAAATTGGAAAAGATTTGGCCAAAAATTCAAAGTGGTCAGGTACCTAGGTACCGGAAGGGGTACCGTTAGAGCAGTGACCGTCAGAGAATTTTGGCCTGAGAAGGTACCCCTTACCGTTAGCTCGAGACCTCCCTACCGTCAAGTCGAGACCTCACTACCGGAAAAGCTACCGTAAGATAGGTACCGTCAGAGCCTTTTGGCTTGAGAAGGTACCTAGCTACTATTGGTCCGAGACCCAGGTACCGTTAGGCCAGTACCCCCTACAGTTAAGGCGGCACCGAGATAGCATTTCAACAGTTAGATTTTTCAAAATTGCTGATTTTCTTTTAAACCACTTTTAAATACCTTTAATACTCCAAGTCAGCTCCAAACAGCCATAAACAATCTAATTTGATATTCAACTATAAATAGGGACATAATCCTTCATTTTAAACAAGAATCCAAACTCCCAAAGTTTATATTTCATATTCTAAGTGTGTTTATCCTTCTGTTCTCCATTCTTATTTTTATGACTATTTCAAGAGCCATTTTTCTCCTGATTTTTATACACACCACGCTATTGAGCTTGTGGTATAGACATATACTCTCATATCTATAGGATTAATCTTGTATACTCCCTCCGTCCCACTCTCTTTGTCCACTTTTGACTTCTGGAACTGTTCATCTAAGCACTTTGTTTCATCAAATTCTCTCAATGTGTAAGCCTAAATATAGTCATGTGTGATCTTGTTTGATTTGTCTTAAGATATAGATTATTAATATATAATTTTTATAATTTTTTAATATACAAATTACAACATAAAATGGATTAAAGAAGTGCATTGGATGGTGTGCAAAAATGAAAGTGGACGAATACTCTGGGACGGAGGTAGTATTTTCTAGAGAATATATTCTCGTTCTACACCGGCAAAGTCATATTCTTCATCTTTGTGTTAAGCCGTTGTGTAGAACTTATTTTTGTATTCTTAAACACACCTCTTTACGGTCGAGAATAGCCGTTAAATTCTCCGTTGTAACGGTAAAGGATAGCCAAGAAATTCTTGGGTAAAAGGTTCAAGGATAACCTTCAAATCTTTAGAGAACGGTCGGAGATAGCCGTGAAATCTTCATTGTAAACAGTTCGAGATAGCCGTTGTGAAATCTCAAATGAATCTTGTTGGCATGGGTTGTTTGCCAAATCTAGTTCAGTGCTTTGACAGAGTTCAAGAGACCAGGACTTAGTCAATTCGGAAATCATAAAGGAAAAAGCCTTAAAGTACTGGAGTAGAGAGTTCTCAAACCAGTCTAAAATTGGTGTGTCATTAGCTTTACGCTTTTAATTCTGCATTTTATTTATTGTTTCCGTGTTTTCCAACACCGATTTCATCAAATGGAAGAAGGCTATGATAACGAAATACACAAATTTCTTCAAATGGAAGAAGTATATGAAGAGGAAAGAAACTTATTCCAAGCCGAAGAAAGAACGGCATAATCCAAGGTAAGTTTTTTTAACTTATGGCCGTTATGGGGATAAGACTTTTTCTTTTTAAATGTTTTTAAAATTAAAACATTATCCCATATTTGCTTCAAGTTGTTTTAGCCCTGGTTTGCATGATTAAATAATTTTTTAAAATTCATTTTTAATCATGTTTTTAAAATCCCGAAAAATACCTAAAAAATCTGTTTTTAAAACTTACATAAATTAAGGATGAATTTTTATTTTAGGGGGAATTTTGCTGTAGATGCACCTTCTACCCAATGATCTCCAAACTATCATTTTTCCTAAAAACTTATTTTGATAGGGGCAGGGTTTCAAGAAGTTATACATGTTTAAAATTTTCAAAATGCCCTTTTTTATTTTGACAAAAGTGTATACTTCAAAGTGGTGCATATGCAAGTTAACTAGAGTGCATTCTTGTGTGATTATTTGCATCAAAGTTAAACTTTTAATAAACAAAAGAAAGGTTCAAAGTGAGTATTTTAAATATGCTCATCCTTAAGGGGAGATTGCTTGCTTCATTATTTTTACTCCCGCCTAACTCACTTTGAAGTATATTGTTTCTCAACATAAAAAAGAGTAGAGATTGTTAGCCTTGGTTTGCTAAATCTCGTGTTTTGATGTTAACAAACAATATATGAGCTAATGTTTGAGTGTTTCAGATACAACAAGAATTCATTAAGAATTGGTTCTCAAGAACGAAGTTGAAACACCAAACTAGCATAGAATATAGGTAGAAACAAATGTAAGGAAAACAAATGCACTCACAAAATATGTTTAAAACCTTCTTATAATCATTTTCGAACATTGGAAATATTTTAAACAAAATTGGGGAAGATTTGGCCAAAAAATGAAAAAATTATCACAGTGGTCAGGTACCTAGGTATCGGAAGAGGTACCGTTAGGATAGATACAGTTAAAAAGTTTTGGACTGAGAAGGTACCCACTACCGTTAGCCCAGGACCCCATACCGTCATGACCTCCCTACCGTAACAGCTATTGTAAGATAGGTACCGTCAGAGCCTTTTGGCCTGAGAAGGTACCTAGCTACCGTTGCTCCGGGACCCAGGTACCGTTAGGCTGGTACCCCTACCGCTAAGGCAACACCAAGGTACCGTTTCAACGGTTATATAAATTGCTGATTTTCTATTAAACCACTTTTAAATACCTTTAATACTCCAAATAAGCTCCAAACGGCCATAAACAGTCTTATTTGATATTCAACTATAAATAGGGACATAATCCTACATTTTAAACAAGAACCGAAGCTCCCAAACTTCATATTTCATATTCGAAGTGTGTTTATCCTTTTGTTCTCCATTGTTATTATTTTGGCTATTTCAAGAGCCATTTTTCTCCTGATTTTTATACACAATTACACACACTATTGAGCCTGTGGTATAGATATATAATCTCATATCAATAGGAAAGATCTTGTATTTTTTCTAGAGAATATATTTTCGTTCTACACCGGCTAAGTCAAATTATTCATCTTTGTGTTAAGCCATTGTGTAGAACTTATTTTTGTGTTCTCAAACACATCTTCTTACGATCGAGAATAGCTGTTAAAATTTCTGTTTTAATGATAAAGGATAGCCAAAAAAATCTTTGGGTAAAATATTCGAGGATAGCCTTCAAATCCTTGAGGAACGGTCAGAGATAGTAGTTAAATCTTCATTGTAAACGGTTCGAGATAGCCGTTGTGAAATCTCGGAGTGAATCCTATTGTCAAAGGTTGTTTGTCAAATCTAATTGGGTGCTTTGACGGAGTTCAAGAGACCGGGACTTAGTGGATTCAGAAATCCTTAAAGAGGAGGCTTAAGATACTGGAGAAGGGAGTTCCCAAACGAGTCTAAAATCGGTGAGTCATTTACTTTACGCTTTTAATTCTGCATTTTATTTATTGCTCCTGTGTTTTCGAACACCGATTTTATCAAAATCCGAAAAGTTTTTTGAACGCCTTATTCACCCCACTAAGGCGTGGGCACATCGACTAACAAAGTAGTCATGGAAATTGCAAGGGCCGAGTAATTCATCCAGAAGGAAAAACTAGTACATGCCAAATAATGAACATGATGAAAATGAATCTATCTTTATTGACAGAGAAGACAATGAAAGTATCCATCAAGAAGAAAAAACTAAAAGAGATATTAGTGCAAGTAAATGAAAGATGGGCTGGAGAAAGATAAACTCACTCTCTAGCTTTCTGGAATTCATCATCTAGTCCCATTATGTAAAGTGTATCTAGAGCATCTATTAGAGTTGCTCCAAGGCCGCCAAAGCTGTCCACTCCATTCCGTGATTGTGGCTGGGGAAGCATAAATTCAGCACCAATGCACCATACTCAAATCGTCTTAAATTAAATGAAAGCAATTAATAAATGCATATTAAAGGCATTGTTTTTAAAAGGAGAACAAAGCTTCTGCCTATGAGGCAATAAGGTGCGAACATAGCAACCATTACGCTTAAGCCTTGTCAACCTAAATGAGGTATCCACCTCAAGGCATCAGACGCACAGAGGGCATGACGCACGAGGCCTATTGAGATTCAAGACTAATTTTACAGACAAACCAGGAGTATTGCCATCTCCTTCTGTCTACATTTTTTTTCTTTTTCCTCTCCATATACTATTTTTATCCATTCTACTACAAACCATGGTACTCTCTTTTGTTAATCTCCTTTTATCTCTTTATCTTGAATCTCTTAGCTCTTTCTATGTAGTGTTTTCAGTGGAATGGAGGACAATAATAATGGTTGTGTGCTTTTTTATATAAATGTAAATTAAAAATAAAAATAAAAATGTTATCATGGAACTACAAAACCTACAAATTTTGCTAAGAAAATGTTAACTAAAAACACTAGTCAAAATTCAACAAGTTTAGTAAGAAAAGTTGAACTTGGAACATTACAGCCGAAGTACACCACCACCATTATTAATATTATAATATTAATTTGAGGCTCCCCTCACTTTGCCTCGAGTCTAAGATGCATACCACCTTAAGGCCCTATTTTGCCTTTAACAACCTTGATTAAAGGAATTGAGAATAATGTTTCAAAGAGAATTGGAAAAAAATCAGAATAGAGAGGTATAACAATATACGGAGTATGAATTTTTATTGAAAAGCATAACAGTATGATGAAATAGAAACCTCACTTGAAGTTCATCATGACCCCATGCATAAGTCTCATATGAACTCCAGGCATGGCGCATGGCATCTTTAACTTTCTCCCTTCGCTGAGCATCTGCTGGGTCGTCAATCACATCTTTTTCCTTGGCTGTGTCAGCTTGATTTTCACCATCCAAAGTTATCTCATGTGGAACAACTCGACCACTCTTTAATTCTTGTAGCTGCAATTGCCAGGAAAAAAGCATTCACCAATGGGAAAAAAATGTTACCGAAAGTTTGAGCAAAAAAGGCCAAGGACAGCTATGCAGCTACTCATGAAACAAATTTTTATTGGGGGGGGGGGGGGG